TGAAAATTAATTTTAGATGTTTAGATCAGCAAAAGAAAAAAATGTACATTTTATGACCACTTTAGAAAGTATATAGAGCCATTTAGGATTTTAATAGAGAATTTTAGCTATCATACAAAGTTTATAGGCTAATTTTAGACTATTTTACTTTCTAAAAATTTCTTAGTCCTTAGTAGTTAAAGCACAATATCCTAGTACAGTTGAAAGTTAGAGTAATGGACTCATTTTATAATATACTCATATACTCAGATACAAATTCAAAGATTGCTTTGGTATTTTTTTTCAGTTGTGGTTAATCTTTAGGGATAAGAAATTGAATCTAGAGAGTGAATAAACATGATTGAGATCACTTTATAGGCAGTGCTAAAAAGTAGAAGAAAACAAACAAGAAGGGAACAAAGCTATTTGCTGTCTTTAAAAAATATTTGTATGGTAGCCTGCTTTTACTCCAGTGCTTTGACTAATTTTCACATTAATGAAAAAATGTCCAACTGTGGCTAAAGAAATAAGAATTAAAAGTGAAGTAAAGCCTCTTAAACTAAGCCTTTTATGTGTTTCACAGATGAATCAGCAAATGGCTGGCATGAGTATCAGTAGTGCAACCCCTGCAGCGGGTTTTGGCCAGCCCCCTACCACAACAGCAGGATGGTCTGGAAGCTCATCGGGTCAGACTCTCAGCACACAACTGTGGAAATGAAAACTGAAATACAAGTGTCATCCAGAACTACCACCTGACATTCCTTGCTAAAACGCATCTAGTTCCCCTGTTTGTTCATGTACATATATATTTTTTCTTTTTACCCATTTGTTCATATTAAGAATTATCTGATTGACCATGTTGGTCTGTACTGATTAAATTTGATGTGGTGAAAAGCAGGTTGATAAACCATTTTACGTCAAAAGCAGCTTTGCTCATATTTCATATGATTTCATAAACCACCATTATTTGAGAAGCTGCTCAGTCAACTTGCATAATCAGTTTTACTCTCAATAAAATTATAGCTCTAATGTTTGCATATAAGGGAAGTAGTTATCATGTTAGTAATACCTCTAACAGTATAAACCCCCCCCCCCAAATTAGCCAGTAATCCTGTAGGAAGGTACTGTACTGTATGATCAAATGTTTAATCATATAAATAGAATGTAAATGTATCACTGAGCACTGTTTTCTAGTGTATCAAAATTCTTTTATTTCATCATTCACTTCACTGTGCTGTTGTTATGATGTGCTTAACAGGGAACGTGGTTAGTGAAAGGAAGATAAACCTGGATGTTACTACAAAACTTAGTTTAATGAATGTTTAAAGAATTCAAATTTTATCTGCCTCTCTTGTAATTTGGATCTCTTCTTATGTACATAGTGCTAATATGAAGACCTTTTTCTGCACTACATGCAAACAGGGTAACTAAAA